GGACCTCGGACCTTAAGGATCAAAGCACGCCAACTGACGGCGACTCAATCACTTGATCATCAAAAACGTGTGGTGATTTTAATGACGTTCCATGAGAGTACCCAGATAGCCTATCGTATTCACGTGTTTACCCAAGTGTATTATTCGACACCCGTCATAACAGATTTCCGAGACGACACTACAATGGAACCAAGTGGTGGTTTCTGTATGCGGGCAGATAGTGTTCGCATTAGGATGAGAGTTCGGAGGTAGAAATCATTCGGAAATGAAACGATGTTTCTTCGGATGAAGTGATCGCTCTTCGAGAATACATTCTTACGGAGTGAAGACCGTAACAACAATGATCTCCACAGTTAACTTACAAGACGTTTCGAGTTCAAAAAGTAACCGCATTATATTGCAATTCCATGCGTGCTCCGACAGATGACGTCAATTTTCATATACCATGACTCCGTAGTATTTCTTTCATACAATTATACATTATACACTTGATAAGGTTTAACTAACAATTAATTCAACGATGTTTCCACAAAATAGGAATGAAAGCAAGATGTGTGTGAGAGGGGGAGAGGGATACGGGTGAAGTGAACTGAAAGCAGACGAAATTCATTTGCTATGACAACCATTCCGTTGTGACAAAAATTACGAGAGAAATCTTACTAGACGTTTGATACCGGGCAGAACCTTAGCCAGTTTACTGCCGAGTGCCAAATCGTATTGCCGCCGGATGAGTTATTGAAACGACCACGTATGAGCCAAGACCATAGATCGGTCAAGAAGTGGGTGGTGGTGAGAAAAGGGCAGGAAAGTTGTTCGGTATCCGATTAAACATTATGCAACCTGTAGCTTGGAATCATGTAGAGAACTAGTTTCCAAATACGAGTTTAGTGAACAATCAAAATAAAAGTATTTTTGAGGGGATGGAATTAGTTGGGTAGAAAATAGAACCGTTTTCCAATCGATTATTTACTGTATCATCTGAGGGAAACCTACTTCTATTTAGGAGTTATTGCTAGGTATTGTAAATTGGGAGGGTTCGGAATTCATTTTTCCTACCGCTAAATTATTTGTACTGTTTCTGCTGTGTTCATCTTACCGAAGTTATTAGTATTGCCGTATTTAGTTTTATTTAACATATCACGAATTTGGACACAGGACAAAAGCTGATCCTACTGGAGCATTCATGGTTATTCGACTCCCACATCTAAGTTGTTTCAATTTACGCTTCTGGTTTTGCCACATTGAGACCATTTTCCGAAACACCCGCTTGTATTCATACTCCGCTATACATTCTGGAAATGCCTTCAAATGAGACTATTGAACAAACCAGCTGTCGTGTGTGCTCTTCGTCCTGTTCCTGTATGCTGTTACTCACGTCATTCTCTTTATTTTTCAGCCCATGTACCGATATCATCAGACGAGTAAAGCGTATTCTTCCGTTTTCTTTCTTTCATCTCGACCGATGTGACCGTACTCGTTTGTTGTCGATCGTAACACTAGCATTAGTCAGGATTGGATGCCGGAGCAGAAAAACTGGTTCAACAGTATTGAACAGAGTGATTGCATATCGTCACAATTATCGCGAAAGTTTTTGGGGACAAACAAGGAAAACCGAGAACGCGATTTTCCGTAATTTATGGACAGAGTACATGACTGTCTACATACGTTATCTTTGCGACGCTAGCCGAGGTCTCGCACCAGATTTCAGAACAGAATCCTACACGCACGACACTGCCCACTGCATTTACATTCGTTGACACTGCACCGACAGACGATCTCGTACAACCGTTCTTACAAATAGCTATTGCTTATTGTTCTGCAGCGAGATGGATAGCGCCCGTCTCGTCGAGACACATATAGACGCTTGATCACACTGCGAGAAAAGCCGAACTGCTGATCTCTGGTGCAGGAAAACTTGTACATTTTAAACCAATACCTACCGGAAGACATTCATTTATTGCATCGACTGTTGCTAACACGATGTCGCCGGTTATAATACGTCTATGTTCGTTCCGCCGACCGGAACTAACTAGCTGGTCGACATTGGTGTGAAGATCTACTGAAAGTCAGTCTATTCCTGTCATCTTGTCATCCTCCAGACGATGAATGCCTCAACCATTGGTGTGCATGATCCACAGTCATTCACTTTCAATCTTGCTGGGTGTCGACTGTTTCCTTCACCGTTTGCATTTGTCGGAGTGAAATATTCAATCCTTAGTGCCGATCTCCTCTGTTTTTTTATTGGTGGCCGGTGGTGAATACCTCCGCTTTCCCGACACCAACATCTTTGATAACACTCCACATCCTTGCGTTTATCAACTCTCTATATCTCTGAACATCACCCCGGATTCTAGTCAGTTTATCTTCAGTCTATGAGAGCTCTTGTCAAAACCCAACGACTGGCGTTTACGAGCAAACACTTCTAAACACGGTCAGAATTAATTCTACACAACTGAACACCCTCGTGTCGCACGCTTGTGCAGAATTCTCACCCAAGGTAGAATTCGAAACATAAGCTGCAATCTGGGACCAACTGGCCTTTAGATGATCCTTGGGCCTCTTTACGATTTCAAAGTAAATACGGTTACTGGAGTCCTCGGGGTGAATACCGGCACCCAATAACGTCACTGAAACTCAATGTAACACGCACAAGTTTTACAGCAGCCTTTGCAATCAACTGTTCAAGCTCGATCAGGCAATCAAAATATCAGATTCCAGTGACTCTCCAGAACGTTCCAAACTGCGTGCTGCCACAATGACGTCTCGCATCTGAGTTCCCGCATGTACTTTGGTTTATTAAGTACAGTCCAAACATAGATGAGCCAGGTGATCTGTGGGCTACATTTGCCGTTTCGTGGGCGGTGATGACGTCCAAACTGCCAGTATTGAAGAACCAGAACAATGTGACCAAATGAGGTCGATTTTATTGATTTTCTGATTGCCTCATTCGCTTAATTCATAACACGCGCGTCATTGGCGTTATATTCTTTGACTTTTGGGGGCACTAGATACATACCAACGACATCAAACCCTTGAAAAACAAAGCCAGTGCAGTCTATTCTATATTCATTCAAAATTTTGAGCATTGTGAACCACCGTCATCGTTTCAACCTTCACTGCTCACATCGATCTGACCAAAACACAATCCCCGGAAAGTTTCCTGAACCTCGGAAGCTACTCCAGATTTGATACTATCAAAGAGACGTGGTAAAAATGGGTTAGTCTGTCCCA